CCTGCTAGACACTGTCTATTGGAACTTGGCCCCCATCCCTGCCTTCTCCTCTGTTCCCCCAGGAATTACAGGTGGTGGAAAGCAAAGAACTACATATCCCAGATGCCCTTGCAGCGAGGGCTCTGGCTGTGACTTAGATTCCGCCTGTGAGAACACTCCTGTGGCCCTGGCACAGACCAGGAAGCTCTGGCTGACAAGGCTGTTTGGGGTAGCCCAGCGCCACATTTCACTCTCTAGTCCCTGGCTTCATGTGTGGTGGCAGCAACAGTGGTAGCCATAGCCACAGTGGCCTTCTTTCCTTCAGATTTTGGATCTGGATCACAGCTGTGGTGGTGTCACTCTCTGATGTCCACTCCTCTGGCCCTTCCAATTGTCTTGATTTATGTAGGTCAAGCCCTGCATTACGGTTCTTCTTGCTTGAAATAACCAGAATGAGCTGGGTGTAGGGGCATATGTTTGGAATCCTAGCTCCTTAGGAGGCTGAGGTGGCAGGATCACTTGTGGCCAGGAGTTTGATATCAGCCAAACAACATAGCAAGACTCCTGTCTCTCAAAAAATAAAATCATTTATCTGGCATGGTAGTGCACACCTGTAGTCCCAGCTGCTTGGGAGGCACCACTGCACTCCTGCCTGGGTGACAGAGAGAGGCTCTTTCTTTAAAAACAAACAAACAAAAGCAGCCGGGTCAGGTGCAGTTGCACACACCTGTAATCCCAGCACTTTAGGAGGCCGAGGTGGGTGGATCAACTGAGGTCAGGAGTTCGAGACCAGCCTGGCCAACATGGCGAAACCCTGTCTCTACTAAAGAAACAAAAATTAGCTGGGTGTGGTAGCACATGGCTGTAATCCCAGCTATTCGGGAGGCTGAGGTAGGAGAATTGCTTGAACCCAGGAGGCGGAGGTTGGTTGCAGTGAGCCAAGATGACGCCATTGCACTCCAACTTGGGCAACAGAGTGAGACTTGGTCTCAGAAAAAAAAAAAAAATGAAAACAAACCAAAAAAATCTGAGACTGTTCCCTAGTTCTTGCTCTGAACTCTGAATGATACAATGGTACATACAGAGATGAAAAAGAAATTTATTCTTACTGGGGTTGTTCATTTCACAAATACTGATTGTTCACCTCCCAGGGCAGGCCCTGTGCTAGGTTCTGGGGATAGAAGAGAAACCAGGCAGAATCCCTGCCCTCAGGGAACTCCCACTTTGATGGGGGAGAAGGTTAAACAATCTCAGTCCCTGAGATCCATGCACAAGGTACAATGGAGCCCAGAGGCAGGCACTGGAACCAGTCAGGATTCACCTGCAGGAAACACAGAACTTCCCAGACGTTCAGTGATACAGAGACGTAGCACAGAAGATTAGGTGCTTACAAACCTTTGGAAGGGCCAGACGGTGGGTTCTCAGTGGGGCCTCCAGAACGACTTCCAGAACGCCACAGAACTGGTCCTCTTGCAAAGCAGTGACCCTGGCCACCATCCCAGCCACTCCTGGGACTGCTAACTTGGCATCACGCTAATGCTCCAAGTACTGTGGGGAGAACCCCCTGTGCTTCCATGGCTAGGATGTCCTGCCAGCCTCCTCATTGCCACATGGTACAGCAGCAGCTCCGGTGACCCTGGGCATCCTGTCCTCTCAGATGAGAATGGCCAGGGTCCCTTCTCACAGTTCTCAAAAGAAGGTAATATACAGAAGGGATGCTCTGTCACCATCTGCTTTGGATCAGCCCTAGTGGCCAAGCCTCGCTTGTGGATGTCTGGTCTCCCTCAAGCCTGGCCAGCCTATGCCTACCTTGATCAGGCACCTGCCTGGGTCCAGCCTGCTGTGGCCAGGGGGAGCATGGCCAGATTCCTGGGTGGTGGGGCTTGTGGGAGTGGCAGGCCCTGCTACACCTCCTGGCAGGATCCCACCAGATAGCTTGAGCTGCTTCCCTGCTTTATGTTCAGACAGTCACGATTATGTGATCACAACTCACCTCTGCCGCCTCAAAGCCTTTCTGGAACAAACTGGGTAATAAATATGGACCAATTCAAACTGAATGACACTTTGTAATGACCAAACATGTCCATCATTTTCTCTGAAGAAAAAAATACAGAATCATTCCTCCAGGCCCTGATAATTAAACAAAAATAGAATTTGGCTATTTGCTTCCAGATACAGAATGCAGGAGATGATATTCCCTAACGTGTGAATACCTGCTCACAGAGGGTTGCTCTTGTTTTCCTCCATTGCTTGGATAACTTTATACTTTTTCTTCCTGGGATAGGATGGGGCGTTTCCCCTTTCAACAGGAGGACAATACCATTTCCACAAAAGTTCTTAACCCCAAGAGTTTAGCCCAATATATTCCTCAAAAGAAAGGGCTCTGTGAGAGAGAAATATACACTTCTTTTCACCCCATTTACACTCAGCTGATGTTTTGAGCTGAAAAGCTCCTGTGATAAAAAAAAAAAAAATTGCAAAAAACCCATCTGCCATCTGCAGCAGGCCCCAGGCAGCAGTTGTAGGTCAAGGCTGGAAGCCAAGGCTGTCTTTGACGGGCAGTGCTGGGCTGGACTGGGCCTGGCTGGGAGCTAATAGGTCAGGATGTGGAATGTGCAATTTTGCAGCTGGTGAAACAGGCCACAAGGCCCTGGCCAGGGCTCAGAACCCATGGATGTTTTAGTCATTCAGAAACTGAAGGTTCAGCCCTTCTCTCTGAAGGACACACTGCCAATGACATGCTTCCAGAATGGATCTTTGTATTCAAGTATCCACTCTTTTAATTTTTTTTCCTTTTTTAAAAAAAAATTTTATTGTAAATGTTTTGGCCACAATACACTCTTTTTAACTTTTAAACCATTATTTTAAAAATTTATTTTTAGTAGAGATGGGGTCTCACTCTGTTGCCCAGGCTGGACTTGAACGCCTTGCCTCAAGCAATTCTCCTGCCTCAGCCTCCCAAAGTACTAGGATTACAGCTGTGAGCCACCAAGCCTGGACTTTGAGTGTCCATTCTTTTTTTTTTTTTAATTATTATTTTCTGAGACAGAGTCCCACTCTACCACCCAGGCAAGAGTGCAGCGGTGCAATCTTGGCTCGCTGCAACCTCTACCTCTAACCTCTACATCCCAAGTTCAAGCGATTCTCATGTCTCAGCCTCCCAAGTAGCTGGGTCTACAGGCATGCACCCCCATGCTTGGCTGGGTTTTTTTTTTTTTTTTATTTTTAGTAGAGATGGGTTTCACCATGCTGCCTAGGCTGGTCTCAAACTCCTGAGCTCAGGCAATCTGCCTGCCTCGGCCTCCCAAAGTGCTTGGATTACAGGTGTGAGCCGCCACATGTGGCCCAGTGTCCACTCTTATTGGAACTTTTTTGAGTAATTTATAGAAATGTTGCTACTAGAAATCAATATTTGTTTAATATATGCAAAAATATATCAGAGATGGCAGTTTAATTTTGTTTTTTCTTTTTGCCTTTTCTGGTGACATACACATGTAGACTGAGATTCTTGGGGTTTACATCAATATTTTCTTTTCTTTTTCTTTTTTTAGACGGAGTTTTGCTCTTGTTACCCAGGCTGGAGTGCAATGGCACCATCTCGGCTCACCGCAACTTCCGCCTCCTGGGTTCAGGCAATTCTCCTGCCTCAGCCTCCTGAGTAGCTGGGATTACAGGCATGTGCCACCATGCCCAGCTAATTTTTTTGTGTTTTTAGTAGGGACGGCGTTTCACCATGTTGACCAGGATGGTTTCGATCTCTTGACCTAGTGATCCACCCGCCTCTGCCTCCCAAAGTGTTGGGATTACAGGCTTGAGCCACTGCGCCCGGCCAATATTTTCAAAATTAAATTGTCTTATTGACTTAGAAACTCTCCTTTGTCTTTTTTTTTTTTTTTTTTTTTAAGATGGAGTCTTGCTCCTTCACCCAAACTGGTTTACAGTGGCACAATCTCGGCTCACTGCAACCTCCGCCTCCCGGGTTCAAGTGATTTTCCTGCCTCAACCTCCTGAGTAGCTGGGACTATGGGTGTGTGCCACCACGCCCAGCTAATTTTTTTGTAATTTTAGTGCAGAAGGGATTTCACCATGTTGGCCAGGATGATCTCGAATGCCTGACCTCAAGACTCGCCTGCCTCAGCCTCCCAAAGTGCTGAGATCCCAAAGTGCTGAGATTACAGGCGTAAGCCACTGGGCCCAGCCTATCTTTGTCTTAAACTATGAGACATTAATGGATATCCCCTTATTGCACATTGGTCAGAAAGTGTCATTCTTCTGACCAAAGAACTTACATTTAGGTACGACTTTTTGTAAGCTGGTTGACTTTCTTAGTAGTAATTGTTATTTTTATTTTACACATTAAATTAAATGATATATCACATGTATGTTATACATTTTAATATCTAAATTCCAAATTCCATATCGTATAGTTATAAGAAGTTGTCTACATTTCAATTGCATGTATGATAAGTGACAGGAGTTTTCAATTTAGGGCAGAAATACATCACATTTCCTTTGAAAATACTTACCTGTGTCATAGATACCTCCAGTATCATAGACTGTTGTGGAGCTGAGGTAATATCATGAGCAGTTGCAAACAACAAGCCACAAAGCATTTTGCAAATCTAAGACTCACCTACAGCCTTGCTAGTCTCATCTCAGTGAAATTTCCTTCTGTGAAATTTAGCTGAAGACTTTATTTCAAAAAGCTCATTCATTTGTTTAGCAAATATTTAATAAGCCCTCAATCAGTGAGAGCTCTTTCCATCACAAGTGACAGGAAATCCAGCCCAAACTAGCTAAAGCAAAAAGATGCTCTTGCCATTGGCAATTTCAATGTTGACTGGATATTTGATGATATGAAGGGAATACTGTGCATTTTTTTAGTGGAGTGTCCTCATTGGCTCAACTTAGTTAATAAGCTTTGTCCCTAAGTCCCTGGGCCAGGAGCCTTTGTCAGGAGCTAAGGAGAGACAAATTGGGGTGGGGATAAGAACGACAGACGTCTGTCTCTGCCTGCCAGATAGACACATGACAGGGTACAGTTTCTTCCCATCAGGAAGCTTCCCAATCATCAAAAAATTATTTGCATTTTAATTTCCTTTTGGCCTGTTCTTAGACTATGTGGAGTTGATGGAACCAATTATTCCCCCCCAAAATATGAAGCATGTTTTGAAAACAGTCTATGCCTATCATCCTGGATTTCACACATAGGTCATGAGGACACATTCTCTTTTTTTCTTTTTAAAGTTTTATTTTTCATTTTTTAAGAGATGAGGGTCTTGCTATATTGTCCAAGCTAGAGTAGAACTGCTGGGCTCAAGCGATCCTCCCATCTCAGCCTCCTGAGTAGCTGGAATTACAGATAGGTACCACCACACTCATACAATTAAAAGAAGAACTTCTTCATTTTAGAGATGGGGGTCTGCTAAGTTGCCCAGGTTCATCTTGAACTCCTGCCGCAAGCTATTTTCCTGCCTTGGCCCCCCAAAGTGCTGGGAGTACAGGCATCAGCCACCATGCTTCACACTTCTTCCTAGAGTCTTTCTTCTCTTCTCTGTAAAATGAATAATAATAGCACCTACTTTATGAGGTCGTTGAAAGGGTGAAATAAAATGGTGCTCTAGACCATTCATTTGGAAGTGGTAGCAGTTGATAAAGGAAGAGCAGTGATATTTTCTGTCTGTGGCAGAAATTGCTGGAGCTGGGCTTGGTAAACGTGAGAGAAGACCATGAAAGTCACCAGGAAGTGAGCGCATGAGAGGGACCCTGGAGGAGCAGGCTGACACCTGAGAGCCCCTTACTTCGACAGCAGCGGTGATGTGGGAGACCGTATCACCTGCATATGCAGCACCTGGCACACAGCCGTGGAGCAGGTTCCTCCCCTGAGATCGTCGGCCAGCGTTTACCGTATAGAGGAGTTGCTGAGATCCTGGTTTCCAGGAATTCAAATCCCAGCCCTACCAATGACCAGCCATAGGGCTTCAGGCAAGCTGCTTTGCCTCTTTGTGCCTCAGTTTCCTCATGGGTGAAAGGGGATAATAACAGTACCTCTATCCAAAGGGTCCGTGTGAGGACTCACTTAGCTGACATGTGTGAGGTGAGCCCTTAGAACAGCACCTGGCAGCCAGCAAGTGCCGGTTATTACCAAGCTGCAGCCAGGTCCCAGAACTGAGCACAAAACGAGACACAAGGTCAGTCCCTTTCAGCATTACAGCAGTGGAAGGGGGAGATTTTAACAAATCATCATTTAGTTACAGTTGAGCAACTAAATTTTGAAAGTACAGGACAGGGTGTTCTAGCCCGGTGCAGTGACTCACGCCTATAAACCCAGAATTCTGGGAGGCTGAGGCAGGTGGATCACTTGAGGCCAGGAGTTCCAGACCAGCCTGGCCAACATAGTGAAACCCCGTCTCTACTAAAAATACAAAAATTATGGCTGGGCGCGGTGGCTCACACTTGTAATCCCAGCACTTTGGGAGGCAGAGGTGGGTGGATCATCCGGGCTCAGGAGTCCAAGACCAACCTGACCAATATGGCGAAATCCCATCTCTACTAAAAATACAAAAAAGTAGCTGTGTGTGGTGGTGGGCACCTGTAATCCCAGCTACTCTGGAGGCTGAGGCAGGAGAATCACTCGAACCCATGAGGTGGAGGCTGCAGTGAGCTGAGATCGTGCCACTGCACTCTAGCCTGGGTGACAGAGCGAGACTCTGTCTCAAAAACAAACAAGCAAACAAAAACAAATACAAAAATTAGGCGCACATGGTGTATACAACTGTGATCCCAGCCACTCCAGAGGCTGAAGCACGAGAACTGCCTGAACCCAGGAGGTGGAGGTTGCAGTGAGCCAAGATTGTGCCTCTGCACTCCAGCCTGGGCAACAGAGCGAGAGCCTATCTCAGAAGGAAAAAAAAGTACAGTGTTTTGATGAAGACAGGTGGTCCTCATGAACGTTGCCTCTTGCTCTGTTAGGGGAGAGGTCCAGGAAATTGTGGGAAAATGTAACTGTTTCTCAGGTACTACTATCAGAGACAGACTTTTCTAGAACGATGTGGGGGAGCTCCTAGAAAAGGAGGTAGGAGAAGTGGAGAAGCTGGTCTCAGAAAGGCCTGCAAACAAAATGTAGCTTGGCAGGAAGGATGCAGGCCTCCAGGCACCCTCTCTCAGCAGGAATCAATATCAACCAGTTTTGTCCTTGTTGAAGGTTCTAATTCTGGGGCCAGCGGACCAGGCTAGCCTGAAGTAGCCTATGGGAGGAGCAGTATCTTGATGGAGATCTCCTGAGACTGAATCTCAGTGGAGGCCAGCCAGGCTGGGTAACAGAAGCCTCTGCGGACAGTTGGGCCAGGGGCTCTTAGCTTTTCGGAGTTATAGACACCTTCTTAGAATCTTTTGTGGGTGTGTGTGTGGGGGTGGGGAATGGAGTCTCACTCTGTTGCCCAGGCTGGAATGCAGTATCATTATCTCTGCTCACTACAACCTCTGCTTCCCCAGTTCAAGCGATTCTCCTGCCACAACCTCTTCAATAGCTGGGATTACAGGCGTGTGCCACCACACTAGGCTAATTTTTTTATTTTTTGGAAAAGATGGTGTTTCACCATGTTGGCCAGGCTGATCTTGAACTCCTGAGCTCAGGCAATCCATCCAACTTGGCCTCCCAAAGTGCTGGGATTGCAGGCGTGAGCCATTGTGCCTGGCCTAGAGTAGTGTTTTTATTGTTTTATTATTAATTTTTATTTTTATTTCAATAGTTTTTGGGGTACAGGCAGTTTTTGGTTATATGGAAGAATAGTGTTTTCAAGAACATAAACCATACATGATTACAAAGAATACCAAAGGCATTGACCTATTAGAACAAATAGGTGAGCTGATTAACAGATTTAGCAGCAGCCTAGTAACTACTGTTATTTTGAAGTACAGATGAGTGCAAATTTTGAAAAATGTGCAGCACCTATAATGAATTATGAAAATATCTGTGGTTGCTGGAGGGACAAAGTCACATGTAATACCACTGTAGCTGACTGCCTATGCTCGTAATTGGAGGAAATGCTAAGTATCATTAGGACGTTCAAAGAAACAAGATGAAAATGTTTTCCCCATTCAGGGACTCCCTGATTTAAGCTGAGAGCCTCTCAGCTTATTTTGTAAAAGTCAACAGCTACGTGAAAAAAAAAAAGAGATGAGTTTCTGATTTTTTTTTTTGGCAAAACAAAACACAAACATTAAAACGCTGTGTATATTAAGTACATCTAGAAAAGTGTACGGAAAATATTTCATATTTAAATAGAAGGCACCAGGGCTCAATGCTGCTCTCCAGGTGGCGGTAGCAGGTGCGAGTTGGAGTCAGTGTCTCAAGTCTGTACCTGGCATCCACGCTGGACGGTAGTGGCAGACTTTCGAGGAGGCCTGAATTTTCACCCGTACAGCTGGGCCTCTAGACCCCAAGCCCCAGGTTGTGGCTAATCACGTAGACCTTATTCCGCGTGCACTTCACTGCCGTTCACAGACCCCCGGGCGCCAAGAGATTGGGAGCACCTGTAGCAACAGAAGACGGATGCCGAGACTGGAGAAAGCCTAACAGCGGGACTAGCTCCAGCTGTGTTGCGGGTTGAGGCTAGCGTCTGCGGACAGATTCAGGTCCCAAGAAAAACAGCGTTTTAACCCATCAGAATTGCTCCGGACCAGCAAGCAGCACGGGCTGGGCGAGGGAGGGAGAGTCGCTTCAGCTGCAAGCCCCAACCCTTGGCTACTGAGTATAAATTGAGTCTTCCGTATAGGATGCCCCTCCCTCTCCACTCTCCTCCACCTGTGTCGGGCTGTGCGAGACCTGGTACATTTTAGAAAAGTGCCAGTGCTGAGAAACATAAGCAGGCAATCTCACAGGTACCTGCTGGGCGTGGCGGATGGGAGTCTTCACTTCCGCAGATTTTGGGGTTCCCACATCTTTGAAGTGGGGTGAGAATCGGCAACTACTACCATATAGTTCCCATACTTCATTCTTAACGGTGAATAAACTAAAAGTGAGTTATAATCCTCTCACGACCGCGGCAGGACTCGAACCTGCAATCTTCTGATCCGAAGTCAGACGCCTTATCCATTAGGCCACGCGGCCGCCGGGAATCCCTGCGGCAACCCATAATATATCTCCTCCACCCGCGGGCTCGCTCGGGACCAACCCACCTGCTCCTTGAGAAGGGGAGATTGGCCTTTGGTTCCCAGCGTTCTGCGGGGAGGGCCCGCCCGGAAGTCCCCCTTCTCCCCCTGCGGGCGGACCGCTCCATTGGCTGCCCTCCTATTGGTCGCGCTGGGAGTCTCAAGCTTGCCTCTCGGGCCGCCGCGGGACGGAGCCGGGCGCAGACGGGAAGTTGCGGCTGCCAGCTAGGCGTACCGGCCGGGCGGAGGCCTCACGCCACCCCGAGGCTGCGTAGGCCGCGCGAGGGGGACGCCGCGCCGTGGACTCGGGGCCCGTGGAGCCGCAGGCCGAGAAGCACCGTGCGGACCGAGGTTTCCGGCGGGTTCAGCGGCGGGGAGGCTGGGTCGCTGAGCGGCGGCGCGGCCCCTCCCTCTTCAGTCAGGGAGCGAGGCCCGGAACAGGGCGGCGGCTGGTCCCAGGGCGCACCGCGGCGGCGCTGTCGGGTGCGGGCGGGCGGCGGGGCGCACGGGGGTGGTCGCCTTCGGCCGGCTGGGCCGGGGTCTGGGCGAAAGTGGGGGTCCCAAGAGACGGCGGCCTACCCTTGGGGTTCGAATCCCGGCGCCGGCCCTTCTCGACGTTAGGCCCTCGGGCCGCGCCAGTCGCGCTCATGGCAGCCGGGGTTTGCAGAGCGCTTGCCTGGAGCAGGGCCGCGCGACATAGGCGCTTGTGTCACCCACACAGCAGCCCTGCGTGACAGGTGGAATTCGTAACCCCATTTCACGGAGTAGGCTGTCGGGGCCTGAGGAGCTTGCCCAAGGTCGCACAGCTCCAGAGAGCCAGAAGCGGGTTCGAGCCCGCGTCGCCCTTCTCCAGAGTCTGCGCCCTTACTCTCTGCCCTCGGCTTCCTCACTTGGGTCACTGACGGAGCTGCGTTGACCCCGTTTCCCCAGGCGGGGTATTGATGTTTCCCAAGTTTTGAGGGTTAACAACAGAAAATGTACCTGAAGCCCCTGGCGCAGGGCCGGGGACGCAGTAAAGGCTCAAGGAATATTGACTGTGAACACACCTGTTACCTATATGGAAAATAATGCTTTATCTCATCTGTCTCCTTTAGGATTTGGGGGAAGGCAGGCATGGTCAAGCCCATTTCACTGACTGGAGAGCGGAGACAGGACGTGTCTCTCTCCACGTCTTCCAGCCAGTAAGAGCAGCCAAGCTGGAGCCCAAAGCCAGGTGTTCTGACTCCCAGCGGGGGGGTCCCTGCACCAACCATGAGCCGCCTGCTCTGGAGGAAGGTGGCCGCCGGCGCCACCGTCGGGCCAGGGCTGGCTCCAGCTCCGGGGCGTTGGGTCTCCAGCTCCGTCCTCGCGTCCGACCCCAGCGACGGGCGGCGGCAGCAGCTGCAGCAGCAGCCGCCGCAAGTGCCATCCTCGGAGGGCGGGCAGCTGCGGCACAACCCATTGCACATCCAGATGCTCTCGAGAGGGCTGCACGAGCAAATCTTCGGGCAAGGAGGGGAGATGCCCGGCGAGGCCGCGGTGCGCCGCAGCGTCGAGCACCTGCAGAAGCACGGGCTCTGGGAGCAGCCAGCCACGCCCTTGCCCGACGTGGAGCTGCGCCTGCCGCCCCTCTACGGGGACAACCTGGACGAGCATTTCCGCCTCCTGGCCCAGAAGCAGAGCCTGCCCTACCTGGAGGCGGCCAACTCGCTGTTGCAGGCCCAGCTGCCCCCGCAGCCCCCGAGTTGGGCCTGGGCGGAGGGCTGGACCCGGTACGGCCCCGAGGGGGAGGCCGTACCCGTGGCCATCCCCGAGGAGCGGGCCCTGGTGTTCGACGTGGAGGTCTGCTTGGCAGAGGGAACTTGCCCCACATTGGCGGTGGCCATATCCCCCTCGGCCTGGTAAGTAGGGGCGGGGTTGGGGACATAACGCAGGCATGCGGGCCCAGCTGAATAGTTCGTTTCGGTGAAACTTTACTGAGGTCCTGAATGTGCTGGGTGCTCAAGTAGGGACTGCCGATGTGAATTAAACAGACTAGACCCCTGCTTCTCTGGGACTGACACACTTTCTGGTGGGAAGTTCACAGGCAGTAAGCAGACACCCAAGTTCATGTCAGGTAGTAAAGGCCGTACAGAGAATCACAGAGCACTGTACATGAGACCTGCGGAGGCCACTTAGGTCACCATGATTTGGTGCCTTTGTCCCTCCCCTGATAGCGTCATGAGAAGTTAGTGGAGGTCTGAGTTGTCAGTCATTTGAACAGTGTTTCTGTTTCGGGAGCTATTGATTATTTTGAGCAGTAGAAAGCTCCTTTTCATGGGACTGTCCCAGGCAGTATAGGACATCATTTAGCATTCCGAGCCTTTCCCATAAACGCCAGACCAAGCCCCACCCGCAACGTTTCCAGATGCCCCTTGAGTCGGCTTCTGGTTGACCACCCCTAGCTGAGAAGCGTTGCTTCCTTCCCCCAGCCTTCCAAGCAGGCATTTTGGTCCCAAACAAGTATATCCAATCTCTCTTTTCCTTTTAAATAACTTTCTAAGTGCTACCCAAGTTTCTTTTTCAAACAATGATGGCAGTACTGTTTCTCCCCTTTTTTTATTCTTCATTCCAGGATTAAAATACTATTTACAACCTTAATGCTTTCAGGCATGGCCAGCAAAAAAGGTTGGCAGTTTCTTTATTCCTATTGGAAGCTACATCTTTGTAAAGAAAGCTGCGAAATGTTAAATATGCAGTTGAAAATGGTGAAAACATGGCTAAATAGATAAGGTAGGCATTAATGGCTGAAAAGAGCAAAACTGGATGATTCCACATTGATTGAGTTCCAGTTACAATGAGAATAACACTACTTATGATATGTAACTTGATGGTCAAGTAAAGGGGAATACCGGCCATCATTTGAAAAGATAAAGTAGGCTTTGGTGGCTGAAAGAAAATTAGGAAACCAGGGACAAGAAAGATGTGTTTTTGATCTGTTGGTCATTTTTGGCCAAGTTACCTGAAGTCCCCTTTTCTCTTCCTCCTCCCTTTCTCTCCTTTTACTCCCCTCTCCCTCTCTGTCTTTCCCTCTCTGCCCTCATTCTCATTCCATTCTTGCCAGTGGTACGTGGGGCATTGCTTAGTTGGCCTGGGCTCATGCTGGGACCTTCCTCTTGGGAGTCTGGTGGGCGGGTATGTGCCCCGTGGTGCCCTCAGAGCAGTCTACTTTGAACCTGGGCATGCCCCTGCCCATTAGCTGTATAGCATTAGGTCCTGGGCCAGCCTACAATTTCCAGTGGGAGGGAAAAGCCTTCATCAGCTCTGAGCCTCCCCCAGGGCAGCGCCTCAAAGGCTGTGGGTAAGGGCTTTGGCTATCAGCCTAGAGGGACATCTCTCTGGCCGTCAGTGTTTATGTAAGATTGACAGGAAAACTGGCATTAATGGCATGAATCCCCTACTCATCTTAAATTCTGGCCGCCTTCTTTTTAATCACAGATAAGCTTATAATGGCTTCATGCACAGCTGCAGGGCTGCATCTTGACACCAGTGTGGCTCTTTAATGTAACTTAAGTCCCTGTTATCATGGCCTCAGCTATTTGGCATTCTTTAGCCTTTTTGTCTGTGGTGTTTTAAGGGCTTTGACGTGCTGAATTAAAATGGGGAGTGGGTTTCTTTCAGTCCCTTGGCTTATTTTCACCATTTGGAATATGAGTTAAATTTTGCCAGGTTTTGCCAGGTTTAAAACTAGGAAACTCTTTTTGCTTTCTCTTTGAAAGAAGTTCGTTTTATATGTGTTGAATCTGTTGAGGCAGATACTCCTCTTCCCTTCCATAAAGGTTGCAAGGTGCTCCTTTGCAGCTGTGTTGTCCACCTGCGGCCTCATCGCTCACTCTGATGCTGAGTGAGCCTTGACTGTTTAGAACAGACTGTGGTTTGCAACAGGCATTTTCTCAGTGACTGTTCCCCCACACCTAGCCTCATGGACCTTGAGCAAACTGCACCTTTTCCAGAATCGGCGTTGGGCCCCCAGCAGGCAGCACTCATCCCCTATGCCTCCACCCCCACCCTGTCACATGTGCATACATTTTCTCATTCCAGCACTTTTCCCTGGTCTCTCACTGAGGGTGGTTGCTTCTCCAAGGTGTGTGATTTGCTCTTTGTCCCCCAGAATCTTGTCAGCCATGGGATGATTCATCCTGTACATGTGTGCAGCATTTGTCATTTTTTTTTTTTTTTTGGCCACTTCAATGAAAAAAGTCTCCACCTTGGGTTTTGTTGTTATGTCTCTCCTTTACTAGCACTTTGAACAGTAGCTGGTTTGTGCTTATAGACACGAGGGGTTGAGCGTGTTCATAAAACACCTCAGAGCCGGATGCAGACCCAGTGAACACTGGGCCTAGCAAACACCTCAGTGGCCCAGGCTGTAATACCTGCATGTAGGTTTTGTTGTAGTAGTTCCTTTTTTATGTGTGGATGTTTAAAGAAGCTCTTGTAGCTCCTGCCCGCCAGCATCCCCTTTCCTCCTCCCTAGCCCGACACACCTGATCGGTAGCTGTTGGAGTTAGCACTCTTTAGTCTCACTTGTGTCCCGACCTGCCAGTATGTGACCTGGCATGTGGTGGTAGGTGTGCGGTGGGCATTGTGGAAGTTTAATGTCTCCATGGTGAACCTGCCTGCTTCTCGCCTCCCTCAGGTATTCCTGGTGCAGCCGGCGGCTGGTGGAAGAGCGTTACTCTTGGACCAGCCAGCTGTCGCCGGCTGACCTCATCCCCCTGGAGGTCCCTGCTGGTGCCAGTGGCCCCACCCAGAGAGATTGGCAGGAGAAGTTAGTGGTGGGACACAATGTCTCCTTTGACCGAGCTCATGTCAGGGAGCAGTACCTGATCCAGGTAAGGTTCCTGGGGCCAGCTGAAGGTTCTGGCATGGGATGCTTGGGACGGGCCAGGAGCCCGTCTCAGTGGTTAGGGAAGGCACTGCTTTCCTGGGAGGAGCCCTTGTCTCAGTGATTAGGGAAGGTGCTGTTTTCCTGGCAAGTGTCTCTACTGCCTTTGTTGCAGCCACAAGGCCCGTCTGTTGACCAACTGTGCTTCTGGTCTTTGCCTCGCTGTTTATGTCCCCAGGAAAGCCTGGTGTAGGATTTAAGTTGTCAGAGAGTAATAATGGCCTTTTTCTCTGCGGCATTTTAGAGCTTAGTATGGGTCTTGAAGGTTCTGAGCTACAGCCTGGGCTCACCTACCTTAACCACTGATGACTAGTGTGAGCTCCTTAACATCTCTCAGTCTTAACTTTCTAGGCTGAAAGAATGAAACCTCATAGGATTAATAGGAGGGTTGGAATAATGCCTGTATGTCAGACACTCAGCACTCTGCCTGGTGTATACTAGTGGAATTCTTTTTCTTTTTTTGAGACAGAGTCTCGCTCTTTCCGAGGCTGGAGTGCAGTGGCGTGATCTTGGCTGCAACCTTCGTTTCCCAGGTTCAAGCAATTCTGCCCAGCCTCCTGAGTAGCTGGGATTACAGGCGCCTGTAACCATGCCCGGTTAATTTTTGTATTTTTAGTAGAGGTGGGGTTTCACCATGCTGGCCAGGCTGGTCTCGAACTCCTGACCTCGTGATCCACCCGCCTTGGCTTCCCATAGTGCTGGGATTACAAGCATGAGCCCCCACACCTGGCTAGTCATGGCAATTCTTAATTTTATGAAAAGCGTTTTTTCCTTATATCTTCACAACAGCCCTAGGAGACAGTCCAGGCAGGGGAGAAAACCTTAGCCTGTAGCTCACATAGCCT